CCAACAGAACACGCGAGGAAAATCCTCGTTGGACGGATTCGGATAAGAGAGTAAATCAGGGACACTATTCATGAGTTTTTACACTGTCAGAAGGTCCGTTCCTACAATAAAAAACTACTTACTAGTGCTGAAACAATAGAATTCAATTGGAATCGGAGCCCTCATCACTTCGAACCATTTTTAAATCTATGGGATTCGTTTGGAGAACAGTTCCAGAAACAAACGAAAATTACTGTTAGAACGAGGTGATATGTAGATTGGAGATCCGATACCTTTGGTGAGAATGAAAGCATTTAGATAGGAAGAAGAGGAATATTTTATTTAGATGAATTCTTGGATAACAAAGATCCACAGGAAAGTGCTGGCAAAGAATGATATTTTAGGAGTGACTTCGCGTGGGGCAGTTCTGCCCAAAACGACTCATTATTGTAGTGCAGGTTTCTCACGAAATGGTTTATGAAGGTGCTAACCTAATAATGAGCGAACACGTCACAAGGGGATTATCCATGGACAAATGAACTCCAATCAATTTGAAAAAAATGGTTCAATATGCAATTACTCCCAAATATACCGCCCGCATCCGTCATATTAATGGATTATGCCCCTTACCATTCTAGGACAGCGAAGAGTCCCGTCAAGATACGACACCAAACTGACAATTAGGATAATGGTAAGAGAGGGAATTAATTGTGATTCACAATCAGCGTAAAAGTTATTGTTGTTTTTGTTTTTTTCGAACCCTCATACTGGCAATAACCGAAGCGCAAAGGTTTAATGTAATAGACAAAATGGCTTCTGAAAGGGCGTCATTACCTGTTATTCGTCTTCCGGCCTTACAATTTGTTGACCTCACCCATCCCATAGAGCTTAATGGGCTAAAATTAAGAAAGTTGTTTAGGGAACATAATGTCACTGGACAGACTTGTCAGTGCAACACCTCTGTGAACTTACACACTAACGCATTCTCCACTGTCACCATCTGAGACTGGAAGGCTTTTGCGAACACATACAGAAGTGTGAAATCGAATATTGGCAAAAAGTGGGAATTTCGGAACGTAGCTATCGACGATATTATTGTTAATGTTGCCTTGGGACACGGCCAGTGAAAGTGAACGCGACAGTATTCCGCAGACTCGGAGTAATTGCTATAATTTAGTAATTCATTCCTACCTTTGCCGCTATGTTCAATTTTAACAGTGGTACGCTCTTTACTTATGCTGTGACGTAAAGCAGAGACTCCTCTCCCCGCACCCCCCGCTGCAAAATATCAGAAGAAAACTTGACGCGCCGAGTACAATTACAGTCACTACGATACAGTTTGCACATGCTAACATATCATGAGCAGAGGAAGTTCACATTTGATCACAGCTTATAATTAGTATTGAAAATATTGATATAAGTTTCACCATCAGGTAATTCAGAAAAATATTGCGCTCACCGATAGCACAGGAAAGGTAAGAAAAAGTACAGAACACATTGTTGACATGTTCGTGGTGGAGGTGATACGCAACAGCAGACTGTGATTAGTCGGGCGTGACCCGTTGTCATATCAATACCCGTCTTCCTTCTGTAACTCTTATTTTCTTACCAGAACGAAGGACCACTTGCAGAGGGTCTTATGAGACTCGCATGGCTGAAAGCTAATTATATTGGGGGTTGTCATCATCACTCAGGAATAAATGAAAACATGTAAAGTTAACATAATAAAAACGCAAAATTAATTGTTACAGAAATCGATTAACAAATTGTAGTATGAACTATTGGATTTGTTATACAGGAGGACATGAAATGTTCTTGTGGTTGATCATAGTGAATTAATTAATGACTTTCTCTCTGACGAATTGGGTGAGTTCCTGGAACCAGTCGAGCGGAGCGAGTCAAGCAGTTTTCCTAGAATTGCCCACACGTGCTCTCAATTCTTATAGATAGAAATAGTTGTACATAATTTGTAAAAAATACTTCGTATCAGAAACTGACTGCATTGACGTGCACATATCAAGATATATAATTAAGCTTATGAGATAATATGGCTTGAGTGCCCGAACAGTCTGATTTATTTGCATGCCAGAACCAGTGAAATTTACTGTGAAACCCACATTGAGTGAATCGGCAAGAATATTGCACTCGCGTTACACATTATTTGAACACTAACTAGTAATTAGTCGAAAATTAAAAAATAGCAGAGCGCATCGCGGACACTTCTGCTCGTGGAGAGTACCGCAGGGGCAACTGATTTCTTTACCCGAAGGGCGATTCGTTGAGAGCTGACGTGATCGGCTGTTGCCGCCGCGAGTTTCTCTGCGCCAATAAAAGGCGATTCTTATCACAATTCTGAGGTATTTGAAATGAAATGTTGATTTATAATTAAAAATGGATTCTATGTCCTACTAATCTTCACTCCATCACTTCCTGTATATAGGCCTTCCCGGTCAAAACAGGTGTGGCTCTTCTACTTCTTCTTTGAAGTATCCAATTTAAAATTTGTTTTGGTCATTTCTCATTTTGAATTCTCTGGACATGTCTATACCATTGAAGAACGTTATTTTCTAGTCTTCTGGCTATGGTTGTTTGAATATTAGCTCTTTACCATACAACTTCGTTCCTTATCTTGCCAGCCTTGTTATCTGCAAAGATCTTCTCATAAAGTGGAGCTCTACTGTTCGTATTCTGTGTCCACGACGTTTTGTTAATGGCTTCATTTCTGCTCCATATAATATATTTTCCGTTACACTGAGGAATTTTCTTCTCTTTGAATTTTGTTTTAATACACTATTCCATATAAGGCAATGTAGAGCTTTCCTTGCATTTCTGCCCATTGCGAGTCTATTGGTGATATCTTCATCAATTTTCCCATCGTCAGTAATTATAGTTCCCAGATATTTAAATTTGGAATAGTTATTTCGTCACCAACTCTAATATTAGAGGCATCTCCTCCGATGAATAAATATTCACTATATTTAAGGTTGATTTTAAGTCCCCATTTTTTGTATTCTTTTAATATCCTAAGCATTTTCATATGTTCCCTACCTGATACCTGACCTGATAATCGGCAAAAAGTAGAGAATAAAAGCACCTATGAGAACTCCCATTTGAGAACGTTTATTGTACCAAGTTACAAAACTTATTACATATTTAGAGAAGTGGCGATAAACTACATCATTGTTTTAACCCTTGTTAATTTTAATTCTTTGGGTAATTTTCCTCTCCATTTTGATACTCGCTTCAGTCTTCTCGTTCATTCGCCAGCACTGCTCGATAGAGTCGATACGGTTGCCATCATGCGACATCTAGCGGCACAATCGAGAAAGACGTGAAATTCCGTCATCAAGAAAGGCTCTCACACGCCAAAAAATAAAACACAAGTATAGAAAATTACATTTTAAAGTGAATACGAACCGTGACAGGCAAGACCACATTATACACCTTGGGCCAGACTCTGGCCGCCAGGTTGCATGGCAAGCGAGGAATGTTGAGAAACATTTTGAAAGTGGAAAAAAGTGACAATTTTTAAACGGTGAACAACGAAAAGTAAATTAAGGTGTAGTTGAAATAAAATATGCAACCCTTTTAAAAAGTGTTCCATATATCTGTTTTAATGACTTGTAACAAGGTGATAATTTTTTGGGGGCATCGAACTCCATTTAAAATTTCCGCTAATATTGCGATGCAAGCTGGTGTATGCAGCTCATTGGCTAAACCTGGATGCTCAGCGGTTCACCCATGTCTATCTACCATGGGCATTACGTCGATCACCAGATATACCATCGATGTTAATCTATGGATGTACTGTCACCATAGAGTAGAGGTATCTCTCCTCTATGACTGTCACCAACGAACTGTAGATATATAATATACAACATAGAATGGCTGAAGCGTCTCCATCTTTGAAGCAAATGGGAGCCATGTTTTTTGCAGTCAAAGCAGCGTCGTCTGGGAAATAAAGTATTATAGTATTTCGCCTGTTTTACACGATCATTTTTCATCATTTTTCGCCGGTACAGAAAATTCTTGATGTAATTTGGACGAAAAAATGACGCATGCTTAATTTTTCGGTAAAGATTTCGTCCAATTTGACTACCGCGCTCCTGGCGGCACTATACGACTCTCTGGTTTCTAATGCGTGGGGAGCTATTTGTTCATTTTGTTGTTGCGTGAGAGCGTTCTAATATGTTGAATTGTAATGTGAAGTGATTACGTAGTGAGAAATAAATTATGTACCTTATTCTAATTTCGTCGCATCCGTGCTCAGTCAACTTAATTTACCATAGATGCGATGTTCAAATGTTTAAACTTCAGCGTTGCATGCCGCGTCCGGAAGATGTATTTTTTTCACCATTACGTACAGACAAATGACCGTGTAAAACGCTGGAATCAGTTTCATCCAGTTTCGGCACCGAAAAAATACTGCATAGAAACGAACGTCCTTTTTCCATCCACTTTCTGTACAGAAAAATGATGAAAAAATGACCGTGCTTAGCGCTGGTTACGGACGTTTACGCCGTCACTCGTGTTTTGACTTCAAAAAAAAACCTGAAGACCTCTAGTTCTGCAAGCTTCCTCCAAGAGCACTGAAACCAGTGTCAGCCACAGTGTATAGTATTACTCGGGCAACTTTTCTTGAACGATGGATTGACTATTTCGGGTGGAGTGGGGGTATTAGTTACAAAGTCAGCCACCAGAGCATTTTAAGTAATGCAAACGTCTGTAAAATGAAAGTCAAAACTGCTTCTTGTGCTTAACTTTTTCGGGAGTTTTAGGTGACTCCCTTGAAGGACCTGGACCTGACTCAGCTATTTCTTTCGATATTGACAATAAATCTGAACAGGGGTTCTGCACTATGAAAGCAACTGGCTTTGAGTAGCTTCTGTTTCGCGCCAACGATGTTTTAATGCTTGGAAGGTTGTCATCAGTGCCCGCTGCGAGATTTTACCTTCAACTGTTTCTTGCACAAGGGATGGGGATCAAGGTCATCGTTCAAGAAAAGTTGCGCGAGTAATATAGTATATTCTATACTAGGATTTATGTAACCATACACTTGACGTAAATTAGCTGTTCACGTTTTCATCTAATCGGAAGCTTTAACGTCCCAATAGTGACGCCACTGTAGCGATATATAAGTTCCCGATTGGATAAAATGGCACCAGCTCTTTTACGTCAACTGCACGACTGTAACGTAATCGTACTGTAGCGCGTTGATTGCCCCTGAAATGAAGACAAAAGGAGTGGCCGGAGAGGGCAGGGTACTAGTAATCATGCAATCATTGTTATATTTGATTTGCTTAGTGCAGAATTAGTGCAATAATAAGGGACAATAGGTCAAAAGTGTTATTTCTTACGAAAATAAATTCCAAGATTAAGCACACAAAATGTTATCGTAGATTTGAGGTAGTGATCCAGTTAATGAAAATATTTCTTGATAGTACAGGAAAAGCATACATAAGAAAAAAAAATCACCATGTAAAAATGCATAATAACTGCCAAAGGAAAGTTATTCCACTACTGAACAGTGTGTCCCATTGGTACAATATGAAAGATTACTATCTGTGTTATTACTGCAATTTTTCAGTTGCTGCGAAAAAAAAGAAAAGCGGGAATACTGGTTGTAGGGACGATGAAGAAGAAATATTGGATTCTTTTACAGATCGACTTGTGCAACAAAAAGTAATAAAATGGGAGTCTGTAAATAATAAAATAAGAATATCGTGTTCATCCGGGCAGAAAATATGTCAGCCACAAGAAAATGGAAGTAATAAACAACTTTCTAGTCAAAATACTCAAGAAAGTACTACTAATACCAATGAATTTGTTAAACACTTCCTACATGAATGTCATAAAAAAACAACTGAATCTAAGAAACCAATTCTTTTAAATGACATGCACGTACATGTGAGACACAGTGATAACATAAGTGTAGTACCAACTATCAAGGATGTTAGTAACATTCTCAGTTCGGTAGAATTTAAAAATAGAGCTCATGACCTTCATTTAGCACAAGTTATGTGGAGAAATGGACATTTTGAAAATGCACTGAATTTGTTTTGGAGTACATATGAAGAAAACTTAAATATTCGAAAAAGAATAAAATGTATTTTACAAGTTAATTTTGCCGATGCTATTAATACGAAAGGAGAAGCAGTCCTAGTAATCATAATAAATTTCTCAAAGAAGTTTGTGAAAAAATATAATGATTACACTCTGCTGTCATATGTTTGGGAATCTTGTTTTCTGAGTAAATGGCATAGTGATAATCAAATTGCTTCTAATCTTCTGGAAAAATACCCAAAACTGAAAGATAATGTGCAACTCAGAGTGAATCATATCACAAGTGTATCTTTAATTTCACACAAAATAGATGTAGTGCAGAGATTATTTGAAGTTTTGTTGAAATATGATATGAAGACACAATATGAGTTGGTCTTACGATCTCTATTTGATTACGCATGTGAGTTTAGTGATTATGCATGCAAACGTCTTTGTTGAATATTGTTGCAAGGAATTTAATTTTAATTAATAATATCTTCACAGGTTCCATACGAGACTTTTATGCCTGTTCTGCAATAGTTCAGTCATGCAGTGATTTGGATGTAACTCTGACAGATATTCAGAATTCAAGATTTATAAATCTCTTCTGCCAAGATGAAGCTCGTCGGGGTGCTAAACTATTGATCAAAACATGGTCAACCAAGCCTTCAAAATTCTCTTTCAAATTCTGAACTGTAATGTGAATACTTAGGATGAGTGATTTATGGTGAGTATCTGACCTCTTAATGTTTCAACAAATTTTCATAACTCTTTCTGTGTCAATTGATTAGTTCAGATGTTCTCAAATTGTGGTAACACATATCTTCAGGGGTATGTGGTAGTGGTACATGAACAAAAAACTTACTTTTTGAAGACTGAAAAACAAAGTGCCTTCTTACTGAAAAGGTTGGAAGTAGTCTGGATTTTCGGTTTGTAAGAGATTTAAAGATGTAGGTCCTATTTATGAATACACATTATACTTGTGCATTTAACTCATTGTCTTTGAAGATAAAACATGATTATGATTATTCAAATTGAGGCTAAAACTGTGTTAACATTCTTACAAGCAGGATATGCTGTGTTCAAAGTAAGTAATAAAATGTATGAACTCAAATTTTGTCAGTTTCTATTACTTCTTTTAATTATTTACTACATGAATTTAAAATAATTTTTAAAAATAAATTTGAATTACTTAACTAATTGATCCAGATAAAAATACTGAAGGCCTGTAATTTATGGATACTTTATTGTAAAGGTACATTAAAAACAGAGGCTTATCTACAGTTGGTCAGAAATGACACGTGCCACGGGCACCATTTGCAAGAGACACTATTTTGATACCCACTAAAACAAACAACCACAACCCTAATTTGAAGTATCCTGACATGGGTGCAAATGCTATGCATGCCATTGGTGTCTGAATTCCTAGATATGCCTCTAATAAAAAGTCATGTATGTGGGAACAATCTTCAAAAAATTTTGAGAACATCATGATTATTTGGTTTTGAGGACAATAGGAAAGACACAAATGTATTCATGTGCATTAAGAAAGGTATATTGAGTAAGTTCCTTTGTATTGCTGCCAAATAAACAATTGTTTTCTACTAGTTTTATTCTTATTGCCTGGAATATTGACATACCTTTTGTCTATTATAGCTATAATGCATAAAGTTCCTTACATGTTTCCCAGACTTCCAGCCCATTTCAGAAAAAGCAGTACTAAATCAACTTTTCTGAAGTAAGTATTCTTTAAGAGAACAAGAAAAAAGTAGGGCTTCTCAATCATTAATTTTTATTTGTGATCTATATTTGAATACTGTCACTAACGTACTATCATTAATCAACTATTAATACTATGAGCAATTCAGGTGAGAATCAAATGTTATTCTTGTAAGTTAAAATTTTTGTGTGTTTCAGAAAATTCCTGAAAATAATAAATAATAACTTAGTTCTGGGATATAACCAAAAAATTCCTGATAAAATGTTTCTACAAGCTTTAATCAGGACTGGCTAATTTGTTAGAAATAATAGGAACAGGCAATGGCATAACTACCACCAGCCTGGCAAGTGCAATTATCTAGGGCCCCCAGCATTTTTTTTGTCAAACTCAGTTTACTTATTTTAAAGACCCATTCTGTCAGCAATTTGTTTTTTGCCATAAAATTACAAGTGTAAAGTTTGAATTACGTATTTTATTATAATGACATTAAGATGTTTTCCAGAGTTGTAATTTGACATCTCTGGACCCCAAATATTAAATATTTAAATGGGGGAATACATTTTATTGCTTCATTTAAAGTTGGGCAGACCCACAACTGAAGCATTCCAAGTCCTCCTAGGTGGTCCATCAGAAATTATTCCCTTTTGGCATTGATTGATTTGTGATTCCAGGCACATCAACTGCCAAGGTCATTAGTCCCATAAGTAAAGTGCTTGTTTTTTATCGTGGGAGGTGGCAGTGATCTTCTCCTGCAGAATGGCAAGATCTGTCTCAGACACGTCAGCTTGCGGAGATTTTCCCCAACAAGGTATTGCCCACCATCGTGGCACTGCTCCAACAAGATGTAAGCTCCCAACAAGTGTGGTGCCTGTAAATGTGTGTAAATAAGGGGTGAGGGAAGAAAATGGAAGAGGAAGGAAAAGTCTCATGTGGTCTGTAGCACATTTGTCAGGGTTAATGTCTTCTTCATTTGGTGTTAACATCTTCAATCTCCAGACTTTCCCACTTTCAAGAACCTGGTCACCGCCCCCACTAAACATTGTACTTTCCCCCTCTCTATTTTCAAAATTCTGTCCCATTCCTCATTACTCTATGCTCATTTTCCATTCCTTCTCACACCATCTAAATTATTAACATTATTATTTTTCTGTATATCCTAATTAAACAACAAATTATTGGCAACATTGCAGATAAAATATACTTGTAGCTATCTTTGTACCATCATCACAATCTTTATTACAATATATTGGCATAAACAAAATTGATGTTTATATTGTTCCTTAATTCTGTCCATACTGCATTTTAAATTACTGCTACAGTGCAGTAGCTTATAGTGTATTGCCTCTGGTGTTAAAGTGATTTTATATATTGTGCTAATGTAAACCAAATGAAGCTTTCTGTAACATCCCTCAAATTATTTCTCTTTTTGTGCCTACTTTCTCTTCGCTTCTTCTCTCCTCTCCCTCACAAATTTCCCCATTTTTACTTTATGAACCCTTCCCCTGAACATCTCTTCTGTTTCACTACTATGTACGAATAACATATTCTGTTCTTTTAATGTTCATCATCAAGCAACTATCCTGATTGAGGTTTTTCTGGGTTTACTCAATCGTTCAAGGCATTCACTGGGACGGTCCCTTGTCTTGCACTCCCAGAGTAAATGTACAGCTTGTCCCCCCAGTTTTTTCAAGTACGATAAGTAGCTCTTCCTTGTTTGTCCTCCGTATAGCCAATCCTTGATCACTAGGGTTCACGGTCTCTTTCATCTTCTTTATAATGTCGGTATAAGTTTCCCCTTGTCTAGCTGCCACTTTGATAGTTGGGTTTACTTTCCTGACTGTTGTCTTAGCTCCTGGCTTCTTCTGTATATTTTTCTCTTTTCTGCTTTGTTGTAGCTGCCAGTTCTCTCCTATATGGTCTTCTGTCTTTTCAGATTGTTTTATCACATCACCCTGATTTGCTTGCTTTTCCCCTGGTGTAACCTCCGCCGTAGTTATCTCCTTGTTTATCTTTCTTATCTCTTCTATTAAGTTCTTCTGGTGGACCAGGTGTCGCCCTCTTTTTACTTTGCACGTCTTTCTTATCTTCCCTTAAATCTTTGCGGCGGCGATGGTGTAACTGTTAGTATAGGACTGTTGTACCCAAGTTGGCGGGTTCAAACCCGATCGAAGTCGTGGATTTTTAAGGGCGAAAAAATCCTTCGTACGCCTTCCTTCGGAGGGGAAGTAAAGCCGGCTGTCCCATGTTAGATTTACTTGCATGTAAAAGATCGAGCCTAAATGACGCCTCTGAGCTAAATTCAAATCGCTTTTTTCTCGCCCAAGAAATACCTCCTTTCTCTGCTAGTTGGTGAAAGGATCGTAACGAACTTTGCTTGGTCAGACGAAAGAGGCCTGATGGCTTGAGTCTCGCCACGTAAAATACGGCATTAATTCAATTCTCTCTACTCAGTAGAGTTCAGGATCCCTGAAAACTCTCTCTTTTCATCTACTACCTCTTGTACCCTATACTTCAGGGTATCTATTTTTTATAGCTCTAGACAGGGCTTCACACTCATCGGATTGTTTTTCAACATATGCCTCTCTATCGCCCTAAGGTTCGATTCAATTCATCTAGCTTTCCTTGGAATTCTACCAGTTGTTGCATAGTTCCCCATTTTTCTATTATGAGGTCAGCTGCTGTTTCCTTACTATCTGCTACAAGATTATCCGATTTCTTTCCCTCCATAGGTCCCCGCCTGCCCCATGGTCAAATGGACCATGCGGCGAATTTGCCGCGCCATCTCGTTCCGCAGTAGTGCGTGGATTTCGCTCCCGCTGGTCGGTAAGTATCCCTGGAGTGGTTGGGGTACTTGGAGGCCATCTCTGCAGTTTCCACTTCCCAGAAAAGGGGTTAATATCTGCACGCTCTAGGCTTTCGCTTGTCACAGTGTAGTATTTCAGAGACGCCAAGCGGTCCATGTGTCTGAGATTGCAGTCGCTGGTTGACGACCGCCGGGGTCCTGCTTGCCCACACCCGGCTGCCGGTACTGGGGCTCCGATCCCCTGCACCGTCACGGTTGATCCTGAGGGACCTTCCATCGTGGGTTTCTTTCCGGGGTCACCTTCCCCTAGCGTTTTAAAACAGCGTCTGGATTTGGTCCACGGGTGGTATTGTATTTCCCACCTACCCTCCGGCGTGGCCGGTAAGAGCATTCCCCGATTTTTCCAGCATCATCTTTCCAGATGTATATCTCAGTATGACAAGTGTGTTATGCCTTGAAGTGTGAATTAAGAGATGATAGAATGATAACGGGTAAAGGTACAAACACAAATACGACCATGGGACCAACTTATTAGGCTTCTGCCCTGGCAATAGAATTCTCCTTCAGACAGCGACTGAATTCGACCTAGGTATGTAGCTAGTGTCGAAAATCCTGCCACTGTCGGAACTCTAACCTAGTACTTCATGTTATGAGCCACTGCAGTCACATTAGTTGATGTCTTGAGCCACCTCTCCTGATAAATTTATTTTGTAATACTAAACACACTCTACTTAAAATTTAATTTCATAAATCTTTAAATTGACGCATCAAATATTCCATTAAAAATTCTGTATTTATTTTCAATAAATTCATACAGTTAAAATATTTGAATATATAAATATTACTGATAATATTTAACCCATTTTACATGAATCTTTCTCAACCATTACTGAGATCAATAACAAAAATATTAACAGAACTTCTACAAAAATTTTTATTTCACTTTGTATCATCTTACAGCATCATTATGTCCACCATCATGATCTTCCTTTGCTTTTCCAAACTGCAAGATTAATGGCTTGCCTTTAAGAACGTATCCATTCACTAACTTCATTGCTTTCATAGCTAATGATGTACCTGCAAAAGAGGATACCACTGCTTTTAATCTGTACGGCAAGGAGAATTTTGTGGAAGTTAAATCTTAATAGAGAGATAAAAATATTTGTATAATTAATTAGTACTAATCAATTAAATTGCCAAAATTTTTGATTAGCCATTCCAGGAGAATAGTGAACCAATCAACAACAGTTAATGTTTGGAATAGAAATTATACAGCTTTGTAGACTTTCACGGCTAGTGTCAATATAAGAGAAAATTGGTAGGTACTAGCTTGGAAACTTTCACATTTAGAATTTATACACATTCTTTTTTTTTTACCCATGTTACATTTGGACTCAATGCTTTCTCTCAGCAGGCATCGATATGCTGCTACTCTTCATTAAATTCTGAAACTCATCTATACACATAAAAATGGATGTTGATTTATTCAACATTGACAAACTCCCAACACCGTTTCACTGGTCTTCATGAAAGTTGGCACGTTACATGTTTGTTCATGGAGAACGTTTTTACGCTGTTTATTTTGTTGAAACTTCACAAGATGGCACTTCAGTTAAATACAATTCCCACTCCACCTGGGCTTGATTGTTGCTGGATGTTACTGTGGGATGTGGGGTTGAGGCTGAGGAGGAAAAGATGGCCAGTGCATGTGCGAGAGAGAAAGAGTCAGAAAGAGAGTGACAGATAGAGGGAGAGAGAAGGATGTCCACCTAGTTAGTTACATATAAATACACTACCAAAAATATAAAAGTTCTAAAATGTTGCAAGTCCATGATATTTGTCAACTTTTCCTTGTTTAAGTAGAGCCTGCCACTTGCATCATCGAAAATAAAGCATAAATTGTCCAATCAGAATCAGTATAACATGGAGATTGCCTTGTTTTGTTTACATCAGGATTATTCCAAGAGTGAATGTCAATAGGAACCCTCTTTCAACTACCTATATGCAAATTAATTTTAAATAAATTAACAATATTTATAATAATTGTACAATAATAGCATCAACAGAAGGCAAAATGAAATGCTTACTGGGGAAAGTGACAAAAGCTTGACCTCTCATTCGTCCAGTTAAAAGTCTGTACATAATTCGAGTTCCTGAATCAGTTTCAAAATGACCAAATAGCGAAACAAGATCGTCATTGATCACACTCCCAGCTAAATTCTTCACATACAACACCTGTAGATGGTAGACAGAATTCGGTGATGAATATACATTTTAAGAAAAAACAAACCAATGGACGACAAATAAGTCATTCTATTTACAAGCATAACAATACCTTTGGTTGGGGAGTGCTTCCACATAATTGGCAAATTTAGAAATAGATTTAATTTCTTGTATGGATAAACAATTCTTTGATATATCTTCTAAAGGAACAAGTGGGATAGTGGACTCTCTCATATCTGACACAACAAATTCATCATTGCATTTGAAAATGTTACTTTCAATTTTGTCCTTTTTTTCTACTGTATTTCTTTTGTCAATGGGAACAATTTCTCCTTTTTTAACAGTATATAAACACTCAGGTTTGCATGTATAAACGTGGCTTGAAGTTTCTGGGCTTTTTCTCTTTGTGCATGTTTTTACTTTAGTAACATCCCACAATGAGTTACCATTTTCATACGAGAATCTTTGAAATACTGTTTCATTAGATCCTGGAGAAAGTTTTGCAGATTTATTAACACCGGATTTCTTCTTTTTTTTAGCTCCAGCTACGTGGCCAAAAAGTTCTTTCTCAATATTTTTTAAATTATTTATTGGATGATCAGGAGGTCTTGCATCAGTTTTTGTTTTCTGACATGACAGCACAAATTTAAGAAGTTTTGTATGTACGCTTTCTGGTTTCACACACAATCCTAGTTCTCTTTCATGACGATTATTAGTTAGAGATGAACTGCAAATTAATAATAATAATAATAATAAATAGTAGTAGTAGTAATAATAATGATGATAAAAATCATAGACCAAAAACAAATTTCTAATTTCATATGAATGGCTCATACATTTTCTTAACTTTTAAAGAACACTATATTACTAAACTACAACAGTGACTCAGCCTCTGTAATGACTAAAAAGTTGAAAAACTTATCTATGATGATGTGATAATGTCTGATTAGTGCACTCAAGTGAATGTTGTATCAATAGTGTTAATGAATTTATTATAGCAACTGTGACATTCTAATCACTTTTTACTGACCCTGCTCTTCAAAGAAAACATCAAAGAAGTTATCAGACAAAAATGAGTAATGTCACTAAAATGTTCAATTTTTCAACAACATTCTTCAATATACTTATTGTGAGCATTTGATCATATATTTGGGGGCCATGGATAGAAGATACTGTAATTTATTTAATGAACACCAAAATGTCCATGTTATATCAAAATGTTTATGTTATTAAAACAAGATCACTGTATAATTGTTACATGTTGAAACTTCAACAGGATCACTGTATAATTGTTACATGTTAAAAATTCAACAGGTGTTAAAACCCTCTTAACAATAGCTGTTTTCAGGTTTGTTGAACCTCATCTTCAGGCTCAAAATATCATATTCCCCCACCCCTTCCTCACTAATCACCTAACACCTTCTACCCCCCCCCCCTCCTCTATTGCATTCCTTTCTCAAGAATTCTTCATCCACGACTGGAAACTCTGTAATAAAACGCAGATGGATGCTCTAGTCCTGATGGCGATGGCTCCTGTTTAACTCCATGGTTACAAATAAAATCTTATCCTTCAATTACAGTAAAGTAAAGAATTCGAGCATCTTAAATAATTGAATTTTATAAGAGTATTTATAAGTTCAACAATAAAACTAAAATTCTGCTTCCTGGCTATGCTTAATTTTTTCATTGCAAAACTGATGAATCTGGAGTTATGAGGTATACTAATTAGTATGACGATGAGAGAAAACAATCTAAAGTGAATCTTGTTTACCCTGAGAGGATACATTCTATATCAGAATACTATTTCTCTGTATATAGTAAATATCTAAGAAGGAAAATTTAATTTAAGGACTGAAGATAAGATCCAACAAACTTCCCAACAGCTTTTGTCAAGACAGTCAAGCCATGACATTTTTATGATGTAACAGTTGTGCAGTGATATTGTATTAATAACACGTTTTGAAATAATGTACACTTTTTGGCGTACATCAAGTAATTTACAGTATCCTCTATTCATGCCCATCTAATGCATGTTCTAATGCCCATAATAAAGAGTAATGCTACAAGCTTAACGAAGATGTTCATATAAAATAACAAGAGGAATACTAGCAATGGATTTGCATTCATCACAGATAAAATATGAATGATCTGCATTTTATATATCATTATAATGAAAGAAGTATCGCTTTTATCCACCAGGTGTTGGTTGTGCTAGCATCCGCTAAAACCTTTTGGCGCAAAAGTGATAGTTAAATTTGTTCAATGTAAGTCACCCCATGTTGATTTGAATGGTGACAATTATAAAAGAGATACTTATTTTATTATGATATCCATGACACATCTGTTTCATTCAATAACTATAACATTGTTCACTTATTCACTTATAAATTATATTAGCACACATTCTTTTGTGTTAGAGTTATATTGAATATTAATTTTTTTCTCTAATTGAAACTTGATCAAATAAAACCATAAGCAGAAAAAACTATTTTTCATTGTATTTTTTATGATTTTTAAATGATTTCTAAAAAAATAAAACATTGTTTGTACAAATCAGGAAATACTACCTCTGTTCCAATGAATAATTACTTTCTGTTTTGGCACATTCAATTTTTTTCAGAATGCTTTCAATTTGTGAAGAAAGAATAGATCTCTCTGTTTTCTTATATTTCTCTGCAAGAATGTCTCTTTCGTAATCCAGCAATAATTGAATTTCATCATTTGACAATCCAAAACTTTTCAATTCCTCAATGTGAGCTACTTTCTCAGTAGTCTGTTCAAATTCTTTCAAAGTTGTTTCTCCTCTCACATAAGCAGTAAGAGGCAGAGTTTCTTGTACACTTTTAAAGTTCTGCTCTCGTTTCAATTCCCTATGATACAAAAATTACAAAAGTATATAATGAAATGATACAAATGCATGTGGGTTCTATTTGCAAACCAACACATTGATAACTTACTGGCCAAGATTGACATGAGGATCTAATTGCTTCTGTACCATTTGTTTGATAAGACGTTCTCCTTCAGATTCAATATGTTCAACAGGTTCATCTTCAACAACACCCCTAGTTTCATAAACCTTGGATCGTGAATTACAAATCTTTGCCATTTTCAGTTTTGTATGCAACTAGTTGTGCCTTACAGGGAGGATGGTACGAATGTCTGAAATAAAACATTTAATCTTCTAAATAAAATATTGTTTGTTTCATGGAATACACATTATTTTTACGATATTACGTTTCAATAGGAATGTCAAGAAGTAACCCTTTTCCCCCCATTTCTATTGTTACTTTATTTTTTCTCTCCTATTGCTTGTTAACGAGTTATGGGGTATTTTCACACATAATGTCATGAGAAAGCACTTAATAAAATTTTATAAAATTCAGGCTTTTGTATCATGCCTAGTTTATTCAATATCTATTTTAAAATGTGAAGTATTTACAAAATGCATTATTGTTCTAATGGTTTGTTGAAAATAATAAACAAAATAAAAATTCTATAATAGTTGATTAATTGATTGATCTTTCCGGGCTTGTCAATTGCTATGGTCATTAGTCATATTGGTGTAGTGAATGTTTTATCTCGGGAGGTGGCAGTGTTCCCATGCTGAATGATGAAATCTGGCGCATCCTACACGACGGCCCTCGATGTATCTCCCACCAACTGTCCACCGTCCTTGCCAGGAAAAGCTCCACACTCCAGACTGATCTGATAAGTGAAAGTGATGAGCATGTGAGGTGGAAGGAAAGATCGCGCACGGTCCTATTATTACGATGCTACTCCGGATTCTCCTGCTATTAACAGAAAAAGAAAAAAAACAACCCTCTGGAAGCTACAGATCAGAGCAGCAGGTGTTAAGAATTCTGCACTAGACAGTGGCTGAATTTGACATCAAGTCTCAAACCCTAGGACCTACCTGTCAGAGTTTTCGCAGAGACAGCAGTAAACTCAGTCGGTCTGTACAGTAGTTAATATTGTGACACATTAATCGTGTGGGTGCGACAACCACACATTCGTGGTGAGAGAAAAATATTGACAGTATTGAGGTTATGTTTCGCAGTAATAATTGTCACCGTCATACACATTGATAAAAGAGTAAGGAACTTTCATGATTCAATACGAGCTTGCTAATACGCATTACACAATACGGCAGCTGCTCAAATTCGCTCTTATTGTTACAATTGTCACTACCACAAAAAAGTAGTGGCTCATGATACCTTGTGTCAACCAGTGTCAACAGCAGTCAATACAGATATAGTCACTCACTAGGTCTGCTCATTTCGCCTTCAGCCTCTTACTGTTACAACAGTAAAACCCAACATTACAGTAATTATAATATACACACATCTCTGACAAGCAGCTGAGCTGAGCGAGCTAGGGGCCATAACTAATAAGTCGCAATAGGTGTCTTTAATTACATCGAATTTCGTGATCAGAACCTGACTCAGTGCTGCCATCATAATGTCGGTTCATCAAACTACGGCGGGAGAGGACGGACAGCACTTCCGGTCTTTTACGCATGCGCAGATGGACAAAAATGATGCGAATCTTGAAATGCGCGTGCCCAGAAGGTCAGTGATGGGCACGTCTGGCGGGAAAATGTTGAGTGGTAACCTATACTGTGCGCGTAAGCGATTCCTAGAGAATTACTAAGTTTTTAGTTATATTGTGCAGTTGGCGAGGTGCATGTGTCTTATCATACATATTATTTACAATTATATTTTCTTTCTTTGGGTTTATTTAGGTTCTGGCTGCCAATATCGACAAAATGGATAAAAAAGTACTATTTTATCTACACACATGTCCCTACCATTTGTTTTTGAAAACGGTTCGAAGTAATATTATGACCTTAGAGGTGATACTAACGTGCTGCTTTATAATAAAATGAAATGTATGGAACATTTGTTTGCAAATGTCCTTTCATGTTTTGAAAAGTGCCAACGAATTTCGCGCCCTGGAGCTATTACCGTAGAAGTGACTCCTTCCGTATATTTTTATAAACTATGGACTTTTAAAACATTTATTTTAGAAATTTGTAGTAATGATTGTCAACAAGAGAAATGTTACCCACATTAAACTTTAATAATTGATTGGAAAAAATCCAGAATGTTCATAAACGCAGACCCAAAACTGTTCGTATGTTTTCATTGAGTGGAGTAACTTTAAACACTGAGTTAACCAGAAAATAATATAATTTAACCATTCATTTTTCACTGTATTAATTGTAATGGATATTTTATTTAAATATCTATTGCACATTTTTATCATATTCAAAAAATAGTTGCAGTTTCCCGTGATGAATTCAAATTTTGATGGTTGAATTTCAATTTTCAAGACATGCGCTTAAATTATTACTTATTATCACCATTAATTTTTATGTTAACATTTTTGTGAAACAAATTTCAATATCTTTTGCGTGGAAAGTTTTAATGAACATTTGATGCCTTTTCTTCCAATATAAATGAGACATCTTGTTTCCCCTGGCGGCAGAAGAAAACAGTTGATTTGGTGACCTACGTAATATTTGGGTTTAGCTTTTACACAAAGTATTGAAGAAGATGACTTAACTTTTATACAAGAAAAATCTTGAAGATCCACAAAATTTTAGTGGCTCAAACATATGAAGATGCTGTTTTTGTACACGTTCAGGCAATGCAAATAAATGACAACTCATTTATTACTAGCAAGGTACTTTAATGGGTTGTTTATAGTATTACAAAAATGTGGAAAATCTATGTACATTTGCACGTGAAATATCTGAGAACGACAGGAACATCTTTAGACGCGTGAATTGCGAGTTACTACGAAGATGGGCGGAACCAGTATCCTACTATTGACTTGACATAACTTTGCTTTTGTTCTCTTTGTTTCAAGGGTGCTATAATTTTAAATTCCTGATTTTTTGTAACAGTAGCGCATCTAAAAAACTAACTGTCTCTCCTGGCCCCTTTTGCCCCAGTCTACTATTGGACACAACTTGTTTATCGTGAAAATACAACTTTATATTAGAGAAAAAGAACATCTCACTGCGAGAAAGTGTACCTAAGCAAAACCAAAATGTATTTAATCCATTATAGGCAGAGAAAAACCTCCAACGAAAAATTATCTTTTAATTATATTTTAAAAGATAATCGACCCATGTGTTGTATCCATAAGCTCACGGTTTGCAGCAGTCATCTGCCGCTTGCCACTCAGAGAGGGGACGATGCTGCCCTCCGAACTACTATCCTTGGATTTATGTAACCATATGATTGAAGTACATCAGCTGTTAACGGTTTTATCCAATCGGGAGCATAAATGTCATTATAGCAACGTCTAAGATCCCGAGAAACTGTGTCGACAACTCATACCTGTCAGACGCACAATTAAATAAATCCTACTGTAAAAGTAACGTGTTCTGGGCTGTTCACCACAGCGCACCCACTTGTCTATATTATGCACATATTCTTCTTAAACGTTCAATCTCGTTTGTTCAATAGCTAGTAGATGGCGCGCAGCGCGCTGTCTTCGTCCTTGACGTCACGGTGGTGATGATGGCATCGCGAGTTACAGATTGCGGAGTTGCCTATTCGGGCTTGCGTCATACCCCAATTCTGAGAATACAGGGAATAAGTTTCCTTGGTTGCAGGTTGGTTGGTGCGACGAATTTTATTTTTCGTGTTTTTTCCGGGATATTGCGAAATTTAACCTGTCCTTGTTGCTTTTATTTATAAAAGAAAGGTAAGTAATAGGTCTACGCGGTGATAATTTCATTTATATACTGTGTTAGTAATGTAGAATAATGTTTGTTTATGTTCCATATATCCTATAATGAAATTTAAGAGAACAAACATTATTTGTAGCTATGAATGAAAATTATTAAGTTTTTTATTATTCATATTAGTTGACAGAAGAAATAATACAGGCTTTCCCTTTTATAGTGAACGGTAGCCCTGACCGTCGTGATACAGTTGATGGCTCTTATCAGAACTGATAAGTGTTAAGTTTATAGCATTTTTTCTTTTGTAGAAAATGAATAAAGCTGGCCCTGGACCACCTCCTTATGCAGGAGGAGCTGCATATTCTACTTATGTGCCTCCCCCTGCTGCCCCTCCTAGTTACTCTCAAGCTGTGGGTGGAGTACCACCATCAAGTCCTTTTATTCCTCCAACTCAATCAAGTAAGTCAATAGGTAAAAATATTTTTGCTAGGGGAGAGTAGTCTTGTCTGTGTCAATTCTGATATAATATCCACATCTTTCAATTTTATCTTAACAGTTCATGGGGGACCAACTATTGTAACAACAGTGGTACCTGTAGGACCTCAGGCCACTCATATGATATGCCCTTACTGTCAAGCTGAAGTTGACACCGCAACTAGGACAGAGCCAGGATTGATAGCTTATCTGTCAGGAATAGTAATTGCTATATTAGGGTAAGTAAGAAGCAAGGGATTAAGTACTACCTTCTTTTTCCTTTTTATGGAATATGCAAGAACTACCGTATTCTTGAAGGAAAAGGGGGGGGGGGAAACATCACCATGGTCATAGTGCTTTTAATGTGCTTTGCATGTTACGTTATGTCTTGAGTCTGTGACATCTCTGCTTATTGAATAGTAAATTGTGAATAAAGTTTAACCAAGGATCTTTCGTTCCTGGGAGAGTTGGTACAGCTACAAGAATTCTTCTCTTTTAGAGGCTGGTTGGGATGCTGCCTAATTCCTTGTTGCATACCTGAATGTATGGATGTGCAACATACATGTCCCAATTGCAAGGCCTATTTGGGTACCTATCGGCGCTAGACTGTGCAGCTAATGCAGAAGCTATATCTTCAGCGATTTGGAAAAAAATGTATTATTATACTTACCTGTATAACAGTGGTTTCATATTTAATCATTAATATCCACACTGATAATCATTATATTAATGGTCTATAATCAGACATTGTTTGTTGCATCTGTGTGCATTTTACAGCAGCAGGTTTTATATTCTTGGAAATTTTGTAACCACATATACATAATGGCAATTTAATCCAGTGGTTTCACAAGGCTCAAGTTGGTATGAAAGCAGTAGAGTTTATTTGCCTGAAGAAATTCTAGTAATTTTCTTAAATATAATAGCACTTTCTGCATGTAAATTAGAAAGTAATTCTTTTCATATACTTTTAAAATTAAAATAGTAATTGCTTATAATTCCTTTCAAAGTGCTAAAAATTGGCCAAAACCTGCAATTTTTGAAATCACATGTCTCGAGTTTTGTAAACTGTATTTCATTAAGTAGCAGTTATCTTTTCAATTAACCTTATGTATTTATTATGTAACATTAAATGTGTAAACTAATAAAAAAGTATCAAAGATATAGCAGTTAACTGGCCAAAATTAATAAATATGCTTTTTATTACTCTTCTCTAATATTTTTATTAACTGTTCTCTTTATGCCTGCATCTCCTTTCCTTTATGTATTGACATCAATATGCCTGTACAATTGCATGAATTTGTTGAATATTTCTGCTAGTATTCTATAAAAAAGCAACTTTTTTCTCATAGTTTTCTTTCATATAACAATAATATTGTTGAAATAAATGGTGTGTTCAAATCTTCAGGTTATTTATTGTACATTAATAATAGATTAAGCAAGTCTTTAAAAATGTGAATCAAATTCTTATGTTTCTTTTACTGTGTTATGGTAACTAAAATAATTTTTGTCCATTATACATTGTGTGCATGAGTCATATCATACCAAACAGAATTGAAGATATGCTTTCAATTATATTGGTTCCTTACAAATTTGAATAAAAGTTCCTTTTCATCAGATGCTGGTTAGGATGCTGCCTCATCCCCTGCTGCATCCCTGAGTGTATGGACGTGCATCATTCATGCCCGAACTGCAAGGCTTATTTGGGTCGTTATCGCCGATAAAAAGAGGCAATATTGTCAGTTTACATACATCAGAAAGATCTAAGAGTACTGAAGTTGCACATCATACCTGTTTTGCTTCAAAAGTTTTTCAATTTATTCCCACTATATGTTTTCTAACGATATGTTACTATTTGACAGGAGACTTAGCATGTGGTCTTATTGTTTAATTAAGAAGTTGAATGGATGTGTTACGTACTTTTGAGACAAAAGTCATTAAATAATTATTTTTATTATGTTTTATAGATGATGTAATTATTACTAATTTTCACTGTAAATATTCAATTATTGCTTTAAGTGAATATTTGTGCAATATATATTTACAAGAGCTTGAGCTACTACTAGAAAGGTAAGGGTTGCGAAACTGGAACTACAATCATGAATGTAGAAAGAAACCATTACGATGAACAGTAAACTCTCATTTGTTCAGATCTTGGTGCTATGACAGTCTGTGGAAAGGCAAAAAAAGTGTATGTGGAGGGGTGAGTGTAAAAATAGCAATGTGTATTATTGTATTGTACAATACTTTATGATTATGGTAAGTATTTTGGGATGATCGATAAATTACTTTTTCCGATTTTTGACATGTCACGGATTTTTCTGATAACCACGTTCCTAGCATAAAATTTTTCCCACAATTTTGGGAAAAAAAGTGACATAGATCATTGTATACTACATTTTAATGTTTGGGTGACATTCTTTGGTATGGAGAGAATGCAGGCCAGTCTGTTCAATCAAGAGTCTACTGTAATTGGTTTTGGTTTGGCATGTCCAAGGAGGTGGGGCAGTGGGAGCAACTTGCCCTTGGCTGTGATCTAATAGGGGCCCTGAACTAATAATATTTATTCAAAAACATATCAAAAATGATGTTATTTTTCAATTTTCCTGAGTGAAAATCTAGTATAATTAAAATCTTAAAATAATGGAAATCTGAATGTTGTATTATATTATATTATATTAGATATCTTTTGTTTTGTAAATAAGGGTCCCCCATTGATCTTCTGCCCCAGACTTCTCTCTGAACACCTAATACGATTTATTTTATAGTGGAAAGAATGTATTTATTTTCCACTCAATACAAACATTTTAAGCAATATAGAAAGTTTGTGAAGAGAAATTTACTTGACATATCTTTTGATAACAGTGAGTAAATGTTTCATTTAATGTAAAAAATATCTGCTGTAAGCAAGGGCATTCCTACATGTATAAAATATATTAATTCTATTGTGTACTGAAGGATTTAATTGGCCAGTAGTACACAGCTTTTGGGGACACTAGTTTCTCTGTGTTTGAGTTAATGCTGTAAATTCATATTTGTGAAATAAAGTAGAAAAATATATGTGATCAGTAGTTTTAATAGTTGTGCATAAGCAATAAACAATCTTAAATTTTTGTAAATTAAATAGACGAAGGTGAAAGGATTGAAGTATTCAAAAAACAAAACCAAAGTAGGAGAAGTAATATGTAAAGTTTGGTCTTCTGTTCTAAAAATTAACATTGTGTGTAACTTTCACACCATGTGGTAACTTTTTGAGTTTTTCATCCATGTAGGGTGAACGATATTGTCTTTACTTATGAGGAACACAAAAGTCTTAAAAAGTTATATTTTCGAATTTTTAAGTAAATTCTTAACTTTTTTTGCTGCGTCTTTTTATGACCATAATGCTTGTTTTTTGTCAACAGTGATTTTGAAACCTTTTATTTTAATATAACATTATTTGCCATTTACAATAATTATATCATCTAAATTTTTTTTTCTTTGACTTAAAAATGAATGCTCATAATGCTTTTATATTATAAATAAATTGCATTTAATAATAAAAAAAAAGATATTTTGCTGATGCTTTGAAGAGCAAGCTAGGAATTTAAGATTAACCCTTTAATCAATAAGCATGTTTAATTTAGTAAATATGTCTTGTGTTAAGTAATGAAGTTCATTTTTCATTTTTTTGAGACATTTAGTGACATTTAATACCTAATTGATGCTTCATAGTTACAAAATTTGAATCATCACTTTGTTTTATCACTCTTGCTAGCACGATAAGCAGTTAGAAATATTTTTTGAAAGTGTATAGTTAATATATTTAAATATGTAAGAGAACAATTCAGTTGTATTTAACTGTTTAACGTATTCTCACATTTGATTACATGATATGAGAATGTGAATATGAGAAATGTACATTTATATGTGTGTATGGGTATAATTATATTCATTGGTCAATAATCCAAAACAAGCAATAAAATTGACCACATAAAATAATACAAAAAAATTGACCACATACCTACATTTATTGGGGTACTGCTGTTTGCCTCCTTTATGTTGTTTTCAGTTTAGTTTGCCTTTTGGACATTAATTATATCCTGATTGCATTTTTTAATTGCATTTAATGACTTGCACTGTGGTAGAGATGCAAAAGGGCATAATATTAGGAGTTACAAAATAGAATGAATTAAATTCTTTGCATTTAGAGTAGATTTTTGCTAATGAATGTTAGCCAGGAATGTAATGTGTGTTGTGCAAATGAAGTTGGCTTATTGAACAGAAACTCTTGAATTTTAATTGAAAACAAACATTCTAAAATATTATCTAAATTTAAAAAAAATACCAACTCAATCACAGAGAATACTATTGCAAATGTCCAAGTCTGGATGATTTGTCCAGTAGAAACTTAAGTTTCTATATCTATCATATGTGTGGAATGTCAACTCTATTAGTTATAGGAGGAATGTTAACTTCTGTTAATTTATGTAAATGGTAGACATACAAATTTTTATGTAGTTTGTAAGATTGCCATAACTTAGTTATTTTTGCGTTTAACAAAGCTAAAGCTTATTTTTAGGTTGTGATTGTCAACTTCTGTACAAAATAATTTTAATGAGAATTATCACTTTTGTTTAGTTTCCTGTGTATTACCTCGCAGTTATATTTGATTTGTCTTCCTCTTGTTTCTTCCATTCCACTAGGTAATATTGAAATAATTCTTCCTCTTCTTGAATTTCCATCTAAGTGCCTTGTTTATACACCAACAAGGTGATAAAATATTTTATCAACACTCAATAAGGTGTCATTGCTGTCTTCTTAATGAGAATTAATTTTTGTTATTAGAAGAATTGATACAACTTTTATAAATTTACTTAATTTCTTTATTGAAAAGTGTAAATGTTTGTTGTAAAGTATCAATCTCGTAACTACTTTTGTTTTGCTTAAAAATCATGTATATTTTCCAATTTCATTTTTTTCTCTGAATCGAAGACAGAATGACTGATAAGAGAATGATAAGTAGTTGCAGTAGAATTGAATAATTAATTTGGAATTGAAATTTACCTTGTTATATGGAAATGAAACTCATTGTGACAAGATATCATTAATGTATGTTTGTGACTTTAGAGTTGAAATACATTTATTGAATTTTGTATGATTCACTTAATCAAACTGTGCAACACAGTGCCAGACATTATGAACAGTGTTTTAAGGAAGAGCTGTTTCCTGTCTTTTTATGAATACTATTTCAAAGTTTGTTAGTCAATTATGTTACTAATATATTAAGTCTGTTTGTAAAGATGTACACATTTTTCACTAGTGTTTGCAAATTCATATTAGTATTTAATATAGATATTTATCGTGTTCTACATTGATATTTTTATATCATGAAAATGTTGTATTGTCTGTCCTTGGAAGAGTTTTGCAACTATTTGCAAAAGGATTTGGCACAGGAAACTATTCTTCTGAATTTTGTTTTTAATATGATGTTAATTCTAGTTATGAAAGTAGTTAAATGTTTTTTAAAACTGAAGAAGAGTGATGTAACATAAACAAAGTATTGCTTTGGAGAATTGCTATGCTATATTGAAAATCAATGATTCACATGTTTTTCAGTTTACTTAAAAAATTAAATAGAGCACTGCTTGTCAAATCTATTAATACTTTAATTCCTGTAATGTTTATATACCCAGAACATAAAAATTTGTGGAAACTTTTAAACAATGTGCAAGTTGAAAATTTATTAAAATAGTTTAGTCCCTAACAAGTAAACATAAAAAACATCTGCATTGGTATTGTCTTTTTAAACAGCAATGGTGCACTTTTAGTATGTTAAATTAGTGTGTGGAAGTAGACACTATGGTGCAAAGGGCTTGAAGGATTTGACTTTAGCTATTATAAATGTTAAATTTGTCTATAAATTTAAATATCATTGTTAACACAAAGCTTATTAGCCTTTTTTGCAAGTGGTTATGCAACAAATAGGAAATAACTGCCCAATTGTGTATTGCTTAGTTTTGGAAATGGCCAATAATTTGATTTAAAAATAACAGTGAATCCAAAATGTTCTTATGGCTTGGAATGATTTGAGATCTAAAATGTTCTCATGACTTCCATGTGTCAAGATCTAAATTTTAATGAAATGGAAAGATTTTTTTCATGATTAGGATATGTGCATGTCTTGGCCTTTAAGTTGGAAGTTTTCACATTAAATATAATTTTAAAATAAAATGAATGTTTAATTTAATGCTACCATTACGAAATAGCATACGGAGAACTGTTCTGTGCGTAAGGATCTTATACTTCATAAGTTGCTTTCAGGGAAGAAGTGAGAACAGGGTTACCAGAGATCTTGTTGCAAAATAAGGACATTTGCCAAAATTAATGACATTTTTTTATAATGACTTACAGGCCTTATACTAGTACAGGAGAGAGATAAATTTATATGATAAAACCGCACTGTATGGTAAATTACATGGTAACATTATTATTAAGGATTCTTTTTGTGTGTCAATGTTCCCCAAACAAATACTGTGAAGCTTTATTATGCTACGTAAATTTTTCCAGTCCCGACCAAAAGCCAATACACAGTCTTCTACTTTTTAGTGTTTTCCTCTAAACAGAGTTCAGAATTCATTGCCCCTTAAAAATGTTATGTAGAGGTTTCACTGTATAAGAATAAGACATTCTTATTGTTCTTGTAGTTAGAAACTCTTGAGTTTCACTCTTTTATCGCTTTCTTCTTACAATTTTATTTTTTTTTGAATATATTTTATATTAAAAATAGATAATACAAATTAGGGGAAAAAAAAACCCTGTGATTTTGAAACCATTTTTGGTAACCCTAGATGAGAAGAGGAAAAGGGTTGTCCGTAATTTACATAGTGCTAAAGAAGGCTAAAGCAGCACGTCCTTTCTCGCCTTCAGTAATGGTTATGTTTACCTTATTTATGGTTATGTTACCTATTTATACCACAATTTCTCTCCAAATTAACACATGTCAAATTTTTTTTGTAAAATCATTTGAAACCGAAGAACATTTGGGGCAAAAATTAAATAGTTTCAAGCAATAAATATTTTATTCAAAACTTAAAATCAAATATATTTCTGGCATAAATATATTGTATAACGTATGCAGTGTATTCACGAACATATCTGATAAGCTTTTTAGCCGTCCAGTATTTTTCGTAAGCAGTATGTGAGAAAGTAAAATAATTTAAAGTTAATAAATAATACGATACTGATAGCGTTGGCAAACAAATTCAAATATATCGAAAGATATATAATAACAATTATTAAGCACTATGATATTGTATTATTCTAAAAATATATAAAACTATTAGTTAATACTACCGCGAACGAAAGGAGCCGTCATTATCGCCTTCTGTTATCAGTGCGGCGTTAAACTAACCAACAATTACTCCTATTCATTTAACACAAAGGACGCAATTTAAAATGAAATAATAATAATATAAAATAATATACAAATTCTAACTCCGTAATGTAGCATTCAATAGCATTACTGTTTCTAGACAATTAGAGACTATACTGATTATCAAAAAGATAAATAATGTTAATTTTAACAAAAAGGAGATATATAAAAATATAAATTAGTTTACATTTGTATTGTATATAATGTCTTCAGGGCAATGACCCCCATCTCGATCAGGTTTTTGTCTAGTTTCCCTGATCCATTGAGCAAATGCTGAGATGGCCCCTTGTTTTGCTTCTGGACGTGAATGTAGCTTCACTATGCGCACGTTTGTTGAACTCTCCTTTTGCTTGAAAAGGTAGGAGTAGAGGTAAGGACGAGGTACTATTTTGTTAGCAATGCAGAAAAATCATACTTGCAATTCGTTTACCGATGCAAATAAGTTTTCTATAATTCGGAAACGAAAATGTCATTTTTTCTAAATATGGCTAATCTTGCGATTTTTTAAAATTTTTTTTATTTATTTATTTTAAACTTTTACTCAACTTTCAACTATTTATAGTTATAATGACGGGAAGGGATTCTGGAACTCAGGAAATCGTGCGCAGATAATCTTCTCCCTCATACGTCATAGTTTTTACTGTTTTTTGACTAAATAAATCTAAATCTAAACTGCGAAAATCGGGAGCCTGCGACCGAAGGCTAGCAATCTTTATTTCAAATATATTTTAAATAATGTCTAATAGATTCATTTGTAAACATAACAAAAGCTCTCATGTAAGAAACGAACAAAGAAATATGAAATAACTAGCGTACGAGTACCCGCGCAAGTACTCTCGCATGTTAATATCCACCCTTTCCCTATCCATTTCTATATCCTTTCCATTAAGAAGGAAAGTTGTTATGAAACATGTTTATTTGTTAAAAAATGAATAAATGCAGTGGCGGCTCTGGGATTAGGCATCAGGGAGGGCACACAAAGTTACAGGATCAAATAAAGTTAGGCATTTGAAATATTGTTATATTTGGATTATTTAAGTCACATAAGTAAAATTTACAAACGAATTTTCTCCCCGGAAGACAGGATAAACACATGATCTATAAATTAAATTGAGTCTTCTCTTTTTACATTCTGTAAATCTATTACTAATCATTTAAAATTAAATGAGTGTCGTAACAAAACTCTTTATAATGAAAACATTCAAAGTCCATTCAATCTCTCTTCCGACATGGTATTTCTTAAAAATGTCTATAATCCTTTCAAAGTGGATGTGGAAAAAGCTTCTCTCGTATTCTTTTATATAGGCACATCGCCAACTCAGATTTCAATTTGCTAGCTCACAAACGAGAGAACTGGTGAAATCGCGATCAACACCTTGTGTAGGGGGAATTGTTTTTCTTTGTTATTGTTGGAACGTTTTACAACCAACTCAGAGAGCAACACATGGATAAATTCCTGCCAAAAATTATAAATATGGTCATTTACGCCGCTTTGCAATTGCCTTGCAAAAGAACGATTGCCACTTCTATCAGACTAAAATTTTTAATATTAGGCTGAAGGTGGTCCAATTCCTGCATGCACAGCCTTGTTCATAACTACTTATTGACTGTTTTCAGGCATTTTACAGAATTGCAAACGTCATTCTCAATCTCAAATGCACACGAATGGACGCAACAGATGCGGAACACAGCATTCACATAGTTTTGTCTACGGAATGCGGAAAGATGATGCCTGACCATGCCGATTTGGCACCTTACTGCATGCACTGAAAGCTTGCGAAAAGGGAAATCAAGTTAAACAGAAATACCAGCAGATAGCAACTGGCCTAGAGGACGTAAGAATCAAGCGAAAGGAATATTGTAAGTTTAAACAAATAGATCATAGTTAGCAGCCGGGCAACGAGGTTTGTCTACCC